TGAAACTGTTCGTGTTATTCCGATAATGCAAGCTGCAGGAGGTGTTTGAAATTGTTCGTGTTATTCCGATAATGCAAGCTGCTGGAGGTGTTTGAAACTGTTCGTGTTATTCCGATAATGCAAGCTGCTGGAGGTGTTTGAAACTGTTCGTGTTATTTCGATAGTGCAAGCTGCTGGAGGTGTTTGAAACTGCTCATTTTATTCCTATAATGCAAGCTGCTGGAGGTGTTTGAAACTGTTCGTGTTATTTCGATAGTGCAAGCTGCTGGAGGTGTTTGAAACTGCTCATTTTATTCCTATAATGCAAGCTGCTGGAGGTGTTTGAAACTGTTCGTGTTATTTCGATTGTGCAAGCTGCTGGAGGTATTTGAAACTGCTCGTGTTACTCCGGTAGTGCAAGCTGCAGGAGGTGTTTGAATGGCATGAGGTTAATTTTTAATGCTTTTGCAAAAAGGAATTTTATCTAAAATATTCCTGGAGGTTTTTATCTTATAATGCCAGTTTGTTAATTTTGATAGACAAGGGCAAGGCTCTTTTAAGACGATGATATAAGATTTGCTGATTTGGGTTCGTGAATAATAGTGTCTTTGTGACATTCCTTGACTGGCATGACATCACTTTGCATTCTTTTCGTAATCCACTGCTGACAAATAAAAGTTTACAGTTCTCAACAAATGGAATACAATCGAGCAAGCCCTCTACCGACATATTGTGAAATCTATGCTACGCTGAGGCCGGCTGTTAACAAGTGATGTCGTCCAATAATAGGTGAGCGCCGTAGTGTAGAGGTCATTTAATGTACTACACAATGACGAAGTATATAGAATTTTGAACTAACTAACTATTTAGTAAGCATCTTCAAATAAATTACAATGAACCGTGAATCACACTTAAGTAAGACATCTGTTACTTTATCACATAATGAAATATTGTGTCTTTTCACATTTTACATAACTTACGTTGAAAAGTTGGAGGTTCACATGTTGTTGAAATGTTTCCCCAGATGACCACTGCTGTTTTGATTTTAAATGATCATTAAGAATTCTAACTTTCAGTTGTTTAGTCCAACTAGATAAAACATTTAGAGCTTAGATTCTGAGATTCGATATTGATATTAACTTCTGATCAAAGTAAGCTGCCTACATGAATCAGAACTAAAAATGAGGTTGACAAGAATCTCCAAGGATCAAAGGAATGATAAAATATAAGTTCTTACTGTTTAATCCGAAGACGTTTTTACTAGACAATCGCTCACTATCTGTGAGTGAGTGTATAAGAGGCAGCCTAGAACCTCTGATATCGGTTGAATGACGACGTTCATATTGATGTCGGTGGCGATGTAGAATCGCTTTCTTCACTTCATCTAGCAACTCCACTTTAAGCTGATTTGTATTAACCAAAGATTCTACAACAACATCTGCAAAAATATATCAGAATAAAACATTAGTATTGCTATTAATATCTAGTAGTCTACATCAGGGTCCTCTCGTGGCTCAGCTAAGACATGTAGTATTATATTAGTGTATTGAACGGTACAGTCATTGCGTTCCTTTCCTAGTCGCTAGTGGCTTTTTTAAATTGAAATTTGCAATGAATTTTATTAATTATACCTTTTTGATGAGCCTACAATTAAAGTATCTTTAAACTTTGTCTCAACGCTTAATAAAGACTTATAATATTTTATAAGTAACATGTGTCTTTAATTTACGAAACTACATCATAGAATATGCAGAGGATACAGAACAGTAAATATATATATATATATATATATATATATATACATATTTATAATATTTTATAAGTACCATGTGTCTTTAATTTACGAAACTACATCATAGAATATGCAGAGGATACAGAACAGTAAATATATATATACATATTTATAATATTTTATAAGTACCATATATCTTTAATTTACGAAACTACATCATAGAATATGCAGAGGATACAGAACAGTAAATATATATATATACATATTTATAATATTTTAAATGAAAATACAAAATAAAAGGAATGTAAATGTATATTACATTATTAATTAATTTTTCCATACTCAGATTCCCGCGATAAAGGTTCAACTAGTAGGCTTAACACGTTGTCAGATTGTTTATGCACATGACAGGTACGTCAAGCATTTTTATATAAAAAATATAAAAAAACTGATAAGTGAATCAAATTTTAAAGATTCTTTTTGTTATTGTTAAACCCATTGTTACTCAGTGGGCTATCTGTGCTTTGCCCACCAAGGATATCGAAACCCGATATTTACCGTTATAAGTCCTCAGACTTACTGCTGACACACATCAGGGCTAGAAACATAATTAGAATTGATAAAATTAAATAAACAGTTTTTCAAAGATGTTAAAATATAAGTATTGGTTTAGAGAATGTGCGATTTTTAAAATCTGTAGAAATAATGATGAACAGAAAATGTATATTGAAGTTAGACGAGTCATGTCTATAATTGAGGCAACACTTTTACTTTTATACGTCTATAGTATTTACATGTAAAATACTACTTAAATTTTCGTGTTACAATGAATGCAAAAATCTATAATTTACAATACTTCAGTTAGCTTCGTTGTTAAAAAAATAATTTTCTTATTTTGATTTACAAACTGTGAGAAATTAAAAAGTAAAATAAAAACGCCAGAGGGATGAAGCTTGATATAGTCTATCACATTCAGTTCACAGATTATGATTTTTTTCTGATTAAAAGTTTGCAGTTATGATGGTTATTTTTAGAAGCTTGATTCTTTGTGGATTGTTTTGATTGTTTCCTTGTTTAAATTATCAACGTGATTGAATTCTGTGATTGAAGTAAGAAAAATTATTTTTTATAATAGGTTTTATCTGTGAAAATGACAAATTATACTTATGTCCATTGACATACTACAGAGGTTAAGTACGTTGTATTAAAATGATTTTGTAGCCTCACCACATCATTACAATTCATGTCGCCACCGTCCGGTCATGCTATATCTGACGATACATATAACAGGGAGTATTCATAAGGCACTTCTCTGATATAAGTAAAGTAGCATATAAAAGGGGAGATACGCAAAGCACTTCTCTGATGTAAGCAACATACAACAAGGAGAATTCCCGAGGAAACCAAAGGAATTGTTCATTTATTACTTCGGTAGTTTCGTACCAGATGATATCTTTACTGGCGAAACTATGGTAATAATAAGTGAATTATTTGTGAAACGTACAATTGTCCTCAATTCTGTAAGAAACGTAAAACACCAAGGAAAACCAATTTTCTGTTCTTAGTATATATATATATATATATATATAAAAGATATACATTTTGAGGATATTTTGATGATTTAAGTAATAAAAAAGAAATATCTAAAGAATTGTACTGACAAGCTATCCTTCTGTTATATATAAAGAAATATCTAAAGAATTGTACTGACAAGCTATCCTTCGGCTATATATAAAGAAATATCTAAAGAATTGTACTGACAAGCTATCCTTCTGCCTATATATAAAGAAATATCTAAAGAATTTTACTGACAAGCTATCCTTCTGCTATATATAAAGAAATATCTAAATAATTGTACTGACAAGCTATCCTTCTGCTATATATAAAGAAATATCTAAAGAATTTTACTGACAAGCTATCCTTCTGCTATATATAAAGAAATATCTAAATAATTGTACTGACAAGCTATCCTACTGCTATAAATAAAGAAATATCTAAAGAATTGTACTGACAATCTGTCATTCTGTTATAAATAAAAAAATATCTAAAGGATTGCATT